GATTGTCCATCACAGCGAGGTCCCCTTGGGAATAGCGTGCGGATAGAGATTCCCATCCAATAGTGACACTGTGTGTGTGTGTGTGCAAGGAAAAGCTGGCCTTCAGTACGGAAAACGGAGCCCCGCATCCGCTTGGGGCTAGAACGCTGGGCCATTAGAGTCGCGTCAGCGGGAACCAAAGAAAGCATAGGGAACAAAATCAATCTTTTCACACAAAAATAAGTAAACAATCGAAATCTTGACTTTTCTGAAGAAAGAACTTAATTTTTTTTGCCGCAGGTTAACTTTGGAAAAGTCAAGGAAATCTAAAAAAAACTCGTGACCTTTTTAATTTAGTTTGAAAAGAGTAGGTTGAAGCTATTCGACACGAAAACAGTTTGGACTGTCGGTTTTTGACCGACTGAGCGCAAACTGCACCGTTTTTCGGTGGCGGCAGGTCGGTGGACACTGTCAGAGAGATTGAGGCCCCGATTGCCATGTGCCCCACGCTGCCCCGGCGCTGCCCGCAGCAAATCAAGTGAAAGTCCCGCCCCGACGGCCGCGGTTTGGGACCAGACGGACAGGCAGGCAGACAGACTGTGTACCTTTGGCAGGGCTTTGGTAGGGCCGCTTCAGAAAAAGAGCTTGCCTTTTGTTTTTGGAGCTGGATTAGAAGAAGAAGCCGCAAAAGCACGCGCGCAGTAAGTCACCGACTGACTCTATGTTTTACATTTTTCGCACTGAGAGTGGCACTGCATTCGCGGTTACAAAGTAATCCCGCCCCGAAGTTAAAATGTTACTAGTACAAGTCAGGTTCGTAGACCGAAAAAAAAAGCCATCTGAACACCTTTGAGTGTCTTTTACTGCTCTAGGTATGTTATGAAGCAGGTAAATCTGCTTAAAAAAACATCACATTCTACTGCTGCCACCTAAACCAAACTGGCACCAGGCAACATTGTCGCACTTGCACACTCATGAAAAGCCGGCTTGCTTTTCGGCACAGCGACGTTTCAAGCCGAGTTACCTCACCAACACAAACTCGCCCATATTTGCATTTCAAAACTGGTCCTGCAGGGCCACCGCTTCCTTCCCAAAAGACGCGCACTTTGGCATTCTGCTCACGTTTGGCGTGTCTTGCACGTGTCTTGAGCCTTTGGCTGCCGAGATAAACGGCCAGAGTTTGAACAAAGGTGGCGAGAGGGTGATGCTTGGGAATGAACTACCGAACATGACAGCCAAGTAATGGTTGTGTTGTTTCCTCCAATTCTACCAAAACAATATTTAAAAATGAAAATGAGCTTCGGACTCCAGGCAGGGCAGCTCCAGTCGGTGACCTAGGCCGGGATTGGAAATGGAACTGGAATCGCTGCGAGGTCTACGTCCGCTGCAGGGAGGCCCGGGCAGGCCCCATCGGAATGCGTCCATCTCGTATGCAAAGAACCTCTCGGATGAATGACGCGCGTTACGACGACTCCGAATGCAGGAATGCTCCGACAATGGCGGGAAATTTGAATCGTTTACATAGTGGTAGATAAGCAAGATAGGTAGCGGGCCTCGATTTATTCCTGTCACGACCTAGTCATGCTACGGTATCCGTTGCAGGCCCCGCACACACACACACACTCAAGCACGCACACTAATTTACGTACGGAATGGATTATTGGATAAGGGGCGGAGGAGCGTTCAACAAGTGTCTGAGTCAGCAAATACGTGACTGGTTGTACTTGGTCTTTGAACTGTACTGCGAAACTTGTGACTGCCGAAATGTAAACAAAACGGTTGCCTGAGCGAAGACAGTGTCTGGACGGCGTGTTACGGAAGGCCCCTCGTTTCCTCCAAGTACCGAGTCATCGAGTCTTCCTCCGTCGGGGCCCTTGCAGTGCCTGGCAGTGCCTCGGCAGTGCCTTGGCAGGCTCGTGACGGCTGGTCAGTCAAGTCGGAACCCCGTCCGGACTCCGGGACTGGCGCGCCACGGCGGACCAATGGCGGACCCGGGTCACGGAACGCGCGGGAAGGCCGACGCAACCCGGTGACGTCATTTATGTCGTCACGGAAATGAAAAGGCCCTTATTCTGCGAGCGCCGCCGCGAGACGTAAATCCACTCCGCTCGCCATATTGAACACGGAGGATGACAATAAAGGTTGAAAAAGAGGCGTGCCCCTTCGCCTGGTTCGTTCGCGGCGTTCGCGGCCGTCGTAATCGAGGAAGCAGATTGTTATTTCGACTATGACGACATAGGGGAGGCAAATGAGCTGCAGTCACGACCGCCCACCGTATTGTCATGCACTTTTCTCGAAACGAGCTCAATTATTGGTCCGGCTGAGGTCGGCCGACTCCGTGTCGTACTTAGTGCACCTGCAACACAACAACCCCACACACACGGGCACACACGGCTCACAAGGGAACTGCAAGAAAAGGCAAAGGAGTCGAGGGCGAACAAAAGGAGAAACACCACAGTGGTTGGCAAGTAATCGAATTTCCTTGCTCAAAAAATAATAATTTTTCTATGTAACTTATGAAATAGTAGAAAATTTAAAAAGTGCAAAAAGTTTAATGTCGTTCAAAAAGTTTGAGACTTGGTATAAAGTTGTTCTCCTGGAAGGTTTCCTGTCGACGGCTTTCCAGTAAATTTCCTCTCCTCGCCTCACCTTGGCGAGCTGCGAGTCTCTGCGCGAGTCATACGGGGAGGTGCGTTACGCCTTATCCGGAATCTGACGAGGGATAACAGTTCGTTGAGGAGGTGGAAGCGTTGGCGATGCCAGGCGATGCCTCCGCCAGATTGGTGGGCTGGAGTTCCTCTAAAGGTTGCCTGGCTGGGTGCAAGGCAGGCAAGGCAGGCAAGGCGGCTGCTGCATCTCGTCGGGTCATTGTGTTGTGGCGAAGGGCACACATAGTGGCATTATTCGCTTATGCAACGAACCGCAGCCCGCCGAACAGGGGAAGTCATTTTCGAATCATTACGGACGGAAGCGCGGTGTGGGTGCCTCCTGGCGAAAGAAGGGAGCCACCGCGCCAAAAAAAAAAAAACAACAAATTTGTCTTGCGAAAAAAAGCGACAGCTCGCGCGAGCTGATAGCTGCAGCGAGTTTTGTGGCGACGGTTTAAAGCACTTGGGGTCCTTGACTTTACACTGCACTGCAAGAAAAAAAACACAACAAAAGTACACAAATTTCTGGCAAATTTTTTTGTCAGGAGTTTATTTTACTTTCAAAGTACAACAATTGTTGTACAAAATATGCTGTGCAGTGCAGGCCTCGTTGTGGTTTGTGCAATTCTCGTTGCACTTTCTACAATCCCTGTTGTACTTTTATCATACAGTTTTTGTTGTTCTTTTGTTGTACTGTTCACACTTTTTCTTGCAGTGTACAGCAACTTTTTAATTTCCAGTGATACGCCACGGCCGGCGGGACGTTCTTTAATTGGCCGTGGCGCTGCAGGTGGCTCGTCCGGTGGACGCGGTCGACGCGCGGGGTCAAGTAGATCGTGACTGCCAATAACGAGTTGATGGACAGTCTGCCAATAGCCGATATCCAGCCGCGTTGCATGACGTGGTACCCTTGGCCTTGTGGGTGCTCCACCACTCATCTCTACCGCGTGCCTCACTCCGGCACTGCAGCAAACACCAAATTCAATTACAACAACAAAGTTTCGACAATTTTAATTGATAAAAACAAGCCTATGCTTCCGGCGAAATGAAACACTGAGATCGGCACTATTTCGCCCCAAAACCGTTTGAATCTTTCACAACGCTTGACCTAACAAATATTTAAATTCATGAATTATTTTTTTCTTGAGCTTGCGGCCCAACAACGGGATGCCGTTTTGCCTTTGTGACAGCCTGGGGCATGTTCGCGGGAAAAATGGAGGTAGTTTGTTATTGAGTTGTCGCAGGCGAACCAAAAAAATAGAAAAAAAATGAAATAAATCGTCGTCGCAGGCCCGCTAGGGGAACCGTAGCGGGCCCCACTTTCCGGGCGACCAGTGCGCGGACCTCTCCAGGCCTGCCAGGCCTTCCAGGACAAGGCCCGCCGGAGTGCACTGGAGCGGAATGACGCAACTGACCGCACGTGGCATTCCTGGGCGATGGTGCAAGTTATTGGGGATGCAGTGAGCGAATTTGTCTCTTGGCACGTTCCTCGCAGTGCAGTGAACGGGTCGCTGAGGTATGCACGCGGCAGGATCGCCCGTCCGTCCTTTCTCTCGCATCACCCCTCTCCCACCTGTCAAGCAACAACAATTTTATCATTTATAATTTTTTTTTCTAAAAAAATTTAATTTTTGTTGAGGGCATTCACCTTTAGTGTTGTGTAGCACCTATGTGCTCCTTTTTTCTTGAACCAGTCTCTGTGGGTTGCGGTGCAAGCGATTTTTTTTTTTTCGCGGTGTCGTTATGCCGCCTCCGGTCGCCGAGTGGTCTCCTAAACCGCCCGCGGCGCGCATCTCGGTTTTGCGTCTTCGGGGTCAGCCCGCCTCGCGGCACCTCGCGGCACCTCGCGGCACCTCGCGGCCCGGTCGGAGTGTTGCGGTCCGATTCGGTGGCGCCTCCAACAAGCCTTGACGGGCTGAATGCCTGAATGGGGGGCGTGGCAGCACCTAGTAGTCTCTCTCTCTCTCTCTCTCTCTCTCTCTCTCTCTCTCTCTCTCTCTCTCTCTCTCTCTCTCTCTCTCTCTCTGGCGTTTTTGCCCACTGCGGTGGCATTTGGTGGGATGCTTTGTCTGGTCACGCGCCGAGTCGATCGTCAGGAGATGCGCTGACCTTGCCGGGGAGTGTGCTGCTGGAATGCCCGGAGAAAAAAAGGGCAACGTAACGGATAAAATGCGTTCGAGAGTGAGGTTTTTCGTAGAAAAGTCCTCGAGCAAATGTAAACAAAAGTACCAAGTTTTTGACTGCAACTGGTTTTTTAAATACTCATCACTTCATGGTAAAAAACTTCACCAATGTACCTGACTATGAAAACTATTTTTTCCAGCTGATCTGGTTTTGTTTCGTTTCTTAATTTTCGTTTCGTCCTTGTTGCAGGTGTGTACGACGCGGCTGCTTCCGCCCTCAGTGAGTAAAGTCTTGTCCCTCCGGCCGCGTTGCCCAAGCCTATTTTTTCCCCAATCACCGTAACGAACGGAACGCTCCTGAACATCACGTAGACGTGTCACTTTGCACGTGATTATAGAGCACCGGCCGTCCTCATTGGCTAACTCTGGATTTTGACGCGGTCCTGTCTCGGCCGGCATCAGTCGGTGCGCTGCGTCCCGCCGCCGGGGGAGGGGAGGCCGCGTTTTTCTGCTGCTTAGCATTGTGAAACATCTGGGAGGCACCGGCAGCAGACTGCTTCGGAGAGTCGTTTTCGTTGCGCCGTCTCCCTCGCACTCATGGCGCGTCCCCTGTAGGTGCGAGAGAGACAGATCGACTGGGTCGTAGCGCGGCAGACGCCGCCGTCGTCGGCGGCGGCGGCGCCGTTCTCAGGGGGGCCAACGTTCACACGCCACCGCCCCCCTTGTTCCTCGCGGACTAGTCGGCCTGCCGGCGGAGTGTTTTGGGGGAAGCGTACCAAAGTTACTTTTGAAGACAAATTTTGTAAGGAAAATTAGCCTCTGTCATGAAGTGACAGCCAGACTTTTGGCAGTGCTGTCACCGCTGCTACTCGTGACGCCCACGTCACGCGGAGTATCGCCCTGCTCTTGATGATGACAGTCATGACATTAAGCGTTGTTTTTGCGCTGCATGCTGGAGGCGCTGCAGGCGCTGCAGGCAACGGCTGGAGTGGAGGTTGCCGCAGCAGCCCTGCTCCTGGTGGGCAGGCGAGGCAGGCGTGAACGACGACCCAGTGCCACCCAAGACTCGCTCTGTCTCCGTCGCACTCGCGGGGCGTCCCGCGCGAGCCGCAATCGCGTCCCAAGCCCGCCTATGGCGCACGTCGCGTTGTCGCCTTACGACATGATTATTGTTGCTGAACATTTTTGTGGAACGGAAAAAAGAACTTGCGGTGTAGTTGGCTAACGAAGGGCATTTCGCCCTGCGCGCAGTGGGCCAGAAGACCGGTGGAGGCGGCCAAAGTTCTCGACGCGTTTTGAGCCTGATGGGACTCGAACCGAACGTGTGACTCCATCAATGGATTCCTCGTTCGGAGAGCAATCCATTGGTGGGGTCACACGCTCGGTTCGAGTCCCATTTAGCGACTCTGGAGCTCAAAACGCGTCTAGAGTTTTGCCGGTCTGCGCTGACGACATGGTGACTGGGATCGCGAGGCAGCCCTTGAATTAGCAGTGCAGCGCCTGCATTCGGCTTCCCCAAACTCGAGTAAAACAACAACACAGCTGTGCTGGTAATTACAGTGCAGGCTGCTGATAGAGAAATTAAGGCGTTTGGTCCATAATGGGCGCCCGGTTGCGGCAGGCCGCTGCGTCTCTCTGTCTCTCTCGCACTCACGTGGCGCTCCGTCGGGGTGCGAGAGAGACGGCGCGATGTTCGGACGCAGCCCGCTGCGAGGCGTGTGCGGTGTGGTCGGCGGCGAAGGCCGAATTCCTATTTTTTCCCGCCTTTTTCTTTTTTCTTGCCGCCATTTCTCCGCCCTCCAGCGCGCCGGCTGCGCTGGCGGTGGCGGCGGCGACACGGCCGCAAGGTGGCCGTCAACGCCGCGGTGCTGCACTTGGCCGTCGTCGCCGCCGTCGTCACACTCTGCTAATTCCACGTGGATGCCCCGCGCGGCGCCACGCCCCCGCCAGGCCCCCGCCACGCCCTCGCGCTTTGCTTGTGATCATCTTTGAGGAGACGGCGCGGCGTGCGCGGCAAGGCCGGCAAGGTCGCGCAGGGCGGAGGGAGGCTTGCCCAACGCGTTCCGCGGTCCGCACGCATGCGTGCATCCCAGTGCATCCGTGCGCGCCCGGCGTGCAAGTCTCCGCGGCCCGAGCGCCCGAGCGCGCGAGATATGAGAAATTCGGCCGCGCGGACGAGTTCGGTTGTCGTGAAGTCCCCGCGGGTGAGCCATTTGCGTGTCCGGTCGGAGAGAGAGAGAGAGAGAGAGAGAGAGAGAGAGAGAGAGACGCTGAGCCTTGGTGGCGGGCGACATGCGGCGCTGCGGTTGAGTGCGCGAGGACCGCGAGGATGTCGTTTTGGGAGATTCGTTTTCGGCGCGTCTCATCGTCTCGACAGCCTCGCTTTTCGCCGCAAACCGTCTCGCCTTTATTTTTGGTGGACCTTGTCGCTTGCAACAGTGCCCCCCCCCCCCGAAAAAAAACACTTAGCCATACATCTTTTTTTAAATTGAAAAACAGTTGAAATTTTTTTCATAAGTCTGAAAAAAAATTAAAGGCAATCGAGAACAAAATCTTGTTTTTAAAGTTGGAAAATTATAAAGGTGTTTTTTTGCTACTTTATCTGAATGGAGTCCACCGTCGGAGTAGTTTTGGGCCCTGCCGAGGCAGGGTCCAAGTTTATGTCCCTCTGTGCGGCTCGTCCTTGGCAGGCGTGACGTCGCTGTCACACCTTTTTACGCCGGGAAGGTGCCAGGCTGCCCAGGCTTTGTCGTGCCGTGACCCCGCCAACAAGTGCCAGCCCGGCAGGCCTTGGCCAGCCTCGGCGGCACCACGTCAGGCAAGCCCAGGGGTCAGACACGTCAGTTTGCTCCTGTTTGTTGACCTGCTTGCCGGGCTGACTGATTCAAGGCTCTGTCTCTCTCGCACTCATGGGGCGCCCCGCCGGGGTGCGAGAGAGACGGAGCGTGCGTGTCGGCGCGCGCGCGGGCCTTGGAGTAGTGTTTGCTCGGCCTGTTGGTCGGCATGTAGTTTTGTTCTCATATTGGTTCGCACCGTTAGACGTATCGCAATCACACCGGTCGTTGTTTGTACACTGGGTTTGTCGTTTTCCCCCGGCCGACGCGTGTTTCGCAAGGAGTCGCTGGACACGTGGAATCCAGCCCCGCGCCGCACCGCGCCGCGCCCGGGGGGTCGCGGGTTCAATACCCGCGCGCTCACTTGCAATTTTCGCTCCTGATTTTTATTGAGTCGGATTGTGTGCGTTGCACCAGAAGACGCGGTGTAAAACGGGCACAGCGTGTGGACACCGTGGACACATTCACGATTGTCGTTCTCCGCCGTTCTGTCCTTTTTTCTCCTTTTTCCTCCGTCGGACGCCGCGTGTTACAGTGTTACGAGAGAGGAGGCGCAGGCGAGCTTGACGCCGACTTGTCACTGGTGCACTCGTAAGCGGCCGCTCTGTCTCTCTCGCACCCCAGCGCGCTGCAGCGGGACGCTGCGCGAGTGCGAGGGAGACGGTGAGACCTGCTGCCAATTGAGTCACCGCGTGCGCCGCACAGTGGGCCAGAAGACCGGTGGAGGCGGACAAAACTCTAGACGCGTTTCGAGCTCCAGAGTCGCTAAATAGGCCTCGAATTGAACGTGTGACCCCACCCATGGATTGCTCTCTGGACGAGGAATCCATTGATGGGGTCACACGTTCGGTTCGAGGCCTATTTAGCTTAGCGACTCTGGAGCTCAAAACGTGTCTAGAGTTTTGTCCGCTCCACCGGTCTTCTGGCCCACTGTGCGCCGCGTGCCTGGTTGTCGCGGGTCACCGTTTCTTTCTGAAAGGGAAAGGGGTGTGCTCCGGACGGCCTGCGTGACGGGAATGGCTGCACTCCCTCGGAATCCGATTCATTTTACGAGACCAAGAACCTCGTCATCTGCATGAGCTCACCAAGAAAATTTCTTGTTTTGCACTCTCACCGCCGTCGAGTGGCGCGTCGCAGGCCTTGTGTGACTTCAGCAACACCTGTCGGCCAGTGACTCCGCGACGCCCGCTCCTCCCGCGGCTATCCTGTGTCGCACGGCGCCAGGCGCGCCCGGCAAGGACGCATGTGCAGCGGTCTCATAGGAACACACACACACGCGGGACGCCTCCTCTGTCAGACACATCAAAAAAATAGCATCATCTCACATTTCTATTCTTTCAATTTTTTCAAATTTCTAATATTTCAATTTCACAAAATTTTACTTTTTTAGTTTTTCAATTCAAAGGTTTTTTTAAAGTTTCCATTTTTTTAAATTGAAATTTTTTAATTACGAATGGTTATGGCGACCTCGCGGCCCCGGCCGTGTTTAGCGCCCCGAGGGCCCCGAGGCGGCGCTACGACCCTTTGTTGGCACGCCTGGCTGCGTATAGTGGACGCACTTTACCTTGCCGGCCTGCTTATCTCTTTTACGCGGCGCCCGTTTTGGTTCCCATGGCGACAATTACTGCCGGGGAACGAGTTGTTCGCGGACGAGGACACCGACCGGCGTGTTCCGCCCGTAAAAACGCATTGCCCGCCGCGGGAAACTTGAGCGGGTTTTATGAATTGCTCGAGGATCGGACGGTGAACGGCGCGGTAAAGTGGCGACAACGCACGACAAATGCCGCCAACGGCTCTGCGATTGCGCCGCCGGTCCCCATGCGTCCGACCGCGGTGACGGTTACATAATCGCCTCTTGATAATTGGTCCTGATATAGAGTTGCACCATTGTTGACCTTACTCCTTGACTCATTAGTGCTTCATTGAGGCTGCGCGCCCCGTCTCTCTCGCACCCCTCCCGTGGCGCCGCAATGGCACGCAGGTGCGAGAGAGACGGGGCGAGCGCTGTTCGCCCTTTGAGGCGCGCCGCCCGTCGGCAACGTGCCGTCATCGTAAAGACTGAGGCAGTCTATCCGCGTGCAATTCGAACGGTGCGTTATTGCCGGGAAAGAGGTAGCCAATCGGGCCAAGTGCCGACTGAGGGCTGGAAGAGGAGTCTTCACAGTAAAAACTCGACGAAGAATCGCTTCGTAATACGAAGAATATGAAGGCATTGTAAAATCTAAAATCTACGAAAAAAAGCGTCGTGTTATGAAGCAAAATCCTTCGTAATTCGAAGCATTTCTTCATAATCCGAGGCAATTCTACAATGCCTTCATTTTTCTCTGTAGTTATGAGGCAAATGCTGAAGGTAAGAGAAGTCAACAACACTCTGAAATCGTCCTGGTAAAATCGTTCAAAACTACAATTTTTATTTTCATATCTATTATTTTGATGAGGAATTCTC